TTTGAGAGAATGAGGGAGCATACGTGCACACATGCACGCAGAAGAGAGGGACAGAGGGAGAAGAAGAGAATCTTAAGCCGACTCCATGCTGAGTGGGGAGCCCTATGTCGGGCAGGAACTCACAACCCTGAGATCACGACCTGAGCTGAAACCAAAAGTCAGATGCTCATCCAACTGTGCCACCCGGGTGCCCCTCTTTGCTCTTCCATTTAGAATTTGACTTTAAATAGGCAACTTTACATCTCTGGTCCTCAGTTTCCTCATGTAATATAGAAACACTAATACCTACTGTACCTATCTCCTGGGTTGTCATAAGCAAATATGTGAAAAAGTACTTTGAAAATTACGATGTGACATTCCAATGTAAAAGTAAATTTTAAAGTTCCTAGGAAGACAGAACATTACTGCTCTAATCAAGTAGATAATCAAAAGTTGACCTTGTGCTTCAAAGAAATTATTTCAACCCATAGTAAAATTATATTAAGAACTGAAGATATTTGTTAATAAACTTACTTCAAAATAGTCACTAATTTTGTGGCCACGTCCCCCAATACTTTTTCCTAAAATATAAAAGTAAAAATTTTTTACAGATTTAGTCATGACTACTTATCATATACTATATCAGAAAAAGAATGTGTCAAACTTAATTTCCCTAATACACATAAAAATCATCTGTTTAATAAAAAGAACATGGTATTTTAGTTGGTTAGTGAGGGACACTGAAAAAGTTATATTAAGAGCCCTCAGAGGGTAAGATGCCAATTTCAGAAATCCAAAAATCAGATGACATTTCAATAGTAACATGTCAATTGTTAAAGTTCCAATTACTGGAGAATCAAATAAATAAATGACATTAAAGGATCTTGTTTTTACAACTACATTATTCATATTGCTTAATGGCTATAATTTCATAAAAGCAAATCAATGAATAAAAAAAGAAAAGTGGCAACTGCATAACTGACAAACCAATTCATACCCATAAATAAAAAAGCTTTGATTAACACAAAACCATACAAACTGACAATAACATGCTTTAACATGAATGTTATTTTGTAAAATGTTTTGATTTTCTAAAAAGTATTCCCAAATTAACAGGATTTTTTTAATAGACTAGATTTTAAATATTGCTCTTATATGACCATATTGATACAGTGGGTCCAAATCATTATATATCGCAGTTCTTTAATTAAAAGTTTTGCTCTAAAACGGACTCTTCATCACTTTTATAAATATTGAATTAAGAAGGTGCTAAGTAAGAAATACAGTGTTAGAGATACTTTTTTGGATGAGAGGCACCCACCCTTCAGTGGAACTATATAAAATACATGATTTCTTCAATACAAAGAAAAACTGACAATACACCATGAAATCAAAAGCTTTGGATAATACAAACATACATATTTATCAATTCAATACTGACTTATATTTATTTATTCAATGAATATTTGAGGGGTTACTATGTGCCAGGCATTACTGAAATGAACAAAGGTTACATTTAAAAGTTCAACAACCTTAAATTCTTTTGTGGAACAAGAAAAATTAAGTAAGTGCCCAGGACTATAAATGGTACCTAGAAAGTTTGAACAACAGTTTTGTACAGATTTACTTAGAGGTCAGAAAGGACTGTAAAGGTTTTACAGGTATACCTTGTTTCACTGAATTTCACCGACACTGTGGTTTTGGGGTTTTTTAAAACACAAATTGAAGGACCTTGCATTGAGCAAGTCTACAGGCATCATTTTTCCAATAGACACCATTTGTTCACGTCATGTCTCTGTGTCACATTTTAGTAATTCTCACAATATTTCAAACTTTTTCATTATTATATGTATTTGTTATGGCAATTTGTTATCAGTGATTACAACTCACTGAAAGCGCAGGTGACAGCATTTTTAAGTAAATTAATATATGATGTTTTTTAGATACAATGCTACTGGCACACAAAAGACTACAGTATAAACATACTTTTATATACACTGGAAAACCAAGAAATTCATTTGACTCGTTTACGGTGATACTTGCTTTATTGTGATGGTCTGGAACCAAACCTGCAGTATCCCAAAGGTATGCCTGTATACCCAAGGAATTTTCCTTCCACCTATAGAACAACTTTCCTGCAGATTCTGAAGAAGGTGCTATTCTTTAAAGACGACAGAGATGGTTTGGGTTGCCTATCCAGAAGCTATGTCCCTAATTCTTTTTCCCTAACTGAACCCAAACTTGGCTCTGTTAATTCCCTCCCCCTACATAACACATATAATATCAGGGGAAGCCAACTCCTATCTGGCCTCCATCCTAGTTCCCCTCCCCTCCTGATCAGAAATCCAATTTTGTTCAGGTATCAATCATCCCTTCTCCACAAAGCCCACATTTCTAAAAGGAACTTTACCCACTTTCAATTTCAGAGATGGACCTGGTTTTTCTAAGGGCAATAGGACGTATGTTGGACATAACTGGCTAAGGAATGAATGGACTCATGACCCAATTCTGGCCGACAAGATTACTGGAGAGGTTTGCTCTGGACTTGAAGCTTACCTTCAAAGAAAGAGGAGGAAAAAACACAGAAAGCCAACCTCTCTCTAAAGCAAATACAAGTGTGAAAGCTCAAGTAAATCCAATCAAAACTGACAACCATTCTAAAAACATAAGAAAATCAGACAATTCTTGTGGAGAGCAGACCACAAAGAAATAAACATGGATTCTTAAAAACATAGGTTGAATCAACCAACCCAGAAGTCCCAATTTGGGACTGCTTTTAAGTGAGTTTTTAAATCTAAAGGTGAAACTATCATAACTAATATAACTTTACACTAAATAAAGCTCCAAGTCCACTAACCACAACCTGCTAGAACTACACTAAGACCAAAATTGAGCTCTGAGCAGACGGAGATACAAAGTACTACACATCTATAGAAAGATGCTAGAGTGACTAAAATTCTTCCTTCCACGCAGACAGTTGCTGCGAATACATTCCTTGATGCCAATGCCACATGTAAGTACTAGTAAGCCATGGGTTCCTGGCCCCAGTCCTTACAGCTAAAGAGCGGCTCCAAAACATGTAATCATATGTATAAAGTCATTATATATGACTTAAGAGCCAATTTATTGTATTTAATTTTGAGTGGCCAAATTAAATGACAATACTATTTTGTTGTCCATTATAAGAGTTTTGTAGATGACTTGAAAATCACCTTCTTAGCCTATATCACAAAGGGCAGGTATGTAAGAAAGAATGAAGAACAGGTATGGAAAGAAAAAGATGATGCTTTAATAAGCAACTCAATCATTTTTATACAGTCTTTTTCTTTTTTAAATAAAAGGAATAAGCAAGCTTTTGGTACTTGCACTTTAAAGTGACATCTAAAGTTCTTATTCAAAGACAAGAAGCCATTTCAATACTGTAATTCAGATAAAGAAAGAAAAATGAAAGGTGATAAGGTAATGTTTGCCAGGTTTGGACATGACACTTGCCTTTCTAATTCTCAAGTAAAAAAAAAAACGGGAAATGTCAAAAAGCCTAAAAACAGTAACCATACACTACCTGTGGTACAAAAGATTTCAATTTCATATTATTCTTTCTTCTGGGAAGTACATTTATAAACTATTATTAATGCATAAATTTATAATAGCTATAGAAATGATAAAAACATAATATGACTTTTACAGTTAAGCTATATTAATTGACTAACAATCAGATTAATTGTAAATACTTATTTGGCTCTGAAGGATTTTGCTTCACTTACCCTGACTACTTTCATTCTGGTTTTCTGCTTTTCTCTTTCTTCCTCTGGATGATTCCGATTGTTTCTTCTCTGGTGTCTACAGAAAGCAAGTTAACAGAATTTAAAGTTACAGTTTTACATACACAATTATTACAGTTAGTATAAAAATTATTTTTATTTCAAAACAAAAACTATTTTGTTTGTTAGTGCTCATGCGATGTAAATGTATAGTTACCTATATACAATTTATTTAAAAGATAAAATTTCCTATGTAAATTTTAAACAAAGTATAGAAGTCCTTGTACACATTACTTGAAATTCACATTTATAGAATTTGACTTGAGATGGATGAAAAATCTGAGAGTAAGCAGCCTTTTAAAGCACCCTTCACTGGATTGGGCAAAACACAATAAAAACAAGTAAAGAAAAAAAACCCCTATGTTTTTCCTATTAGTTTTCTATTATTCATACATACTTAGTTTATAAAAGTAAACTTGGATGAAAAAGAAAAGAGCAGAACTCAAACCCCAATATATATATACAATCCCTACGATTATTATCTAACAATTAGAGCAAATTCATAGATTATGCTCTAAATCAGGGGGCAGCAAACTACAGCCCAATGGCCAAATATGGTTAGCCACCTGTTTCTGTAAGGCCCATTATCTAGGCATGACTTTTACATTTTTAAAGAACTGAAAAATTTAATAATTAAAACAATATTGTGATATGAAAATTTTAAGAAATTCAAATTTCAGTGTCCATAAATAAAGTTTTATTGGAACACAGCCACACTCGTTCATTTATGTACTGACTATGGTTGCTTTCACACTATGACAGCAGAGTTAGTTCCCAGAGAGACTATATGGTCCACAAAGCCTAAAACATCTGGTCCTTTACCTAAGTCTGCAGATTCCCAACCCTAGATGATTGCTTCTTTTCAAATTAGCATTTTCATCAGGCTAAAAAGTAAGTAATTTTTGTGGAGTCTGACAAGCTGTTGTGCTTAGTTAAAAATTAAAACTAAGAGCAAAAAGCACAATGCAATGGCACAAGGCCCTCAAATTCTAGAAGCTTGGCAAGTATGTCTGGTGCCAGAACAAAGAATGTTTGAATGAATGATACAACTTAAATCTCTAAAGGCAATGCAGTCCCCAAACAAGAAAGGGAAATAATCCATATTTTGTTGTCTCTGAGTAGTCTATGATTAAACAGTACAAATGACAACACATAACCTAACTTGTGTTGAGCATCTATGATTCCTCTTTAGTATTATCATGGATTTTAAATTCTCTCACCCCCATTTTGTCAACATGATAACAGATTCAGAGAGGATGAAGTGAATGTTCTAGTGTCTGAATTCTTTAACAACAGGAGTTCTATCATCTCCCCATCTTACCCTCCCATTTCCTCATGCCTAGCATACAGTTATCACTTGATAAATACATTAATGTTAAATAACTTATTCAAGGTAACCAGGATTTAAATCAAATTCAATTCTGTATTCCCAAGGCTCTAAATGCTATACGTGCCCTATATCAAGAACTGAATGAATCAACAATACAAAAACATTTCAAAATTTTATCAAGTTTGTAAATAAAATTCATTATGTCCAACAAACTGCCTACATGTTTTCACAACACAAACCAGAGATCTTAAAGAAATCCACCCTAACTGGCGATCTACTCAGGAGGTAGACTGATGTACCAGCAATTTAGGGTAAATAGGTCATTAGTTATCAGACTCAGACAAATAATAACCAATCTTTTTTTTTCCTCAAAATAAAAATAACACCAAATTAAAAACTCTAAGCTAACATTTTTATAAAGAACCTTAAAATCTATCTTAAAAGAGGATTCCCAAATAATATTTATTCACATCCTTCCCTAATCTGTGTTAAAAAAAAAAATGTAATTTAAGATCAAGAAAATACGGTTTTTCACAACAGTTTAATGTATTAATTTTTAAGCATGGCAGGATCCCATCTGAATTCCATCTTAAATCTTGACTAGCTACTTTTGAATAAACAACAAGAACAAAAAATCACATAAAATAACACAATTCTGAAAGTTATACTGGAAACATTTTCTATCTAAATGTTTCTGTATCATTTTCTAAAATATATTCCAAGGAACAGTGGATCAGTTTGGTTGAGAGGCTACATTTTAAATGCAGAGGACAGCAGGATGGTTCAACTGGGGTGAGCAAAGTTAGATTTATTTACCACAAAGCTTCTAAATGATAACAGTCACTGGCTATCTCCAAAAGGGGAATGGGATGGAAAGTTACAGTGTATGAAGAAATTCTCAAACTTATTTGGAATAACATTCATTAAACACTTTACTGAATATATATTTGAAGATACTTAAGGTCTTTTTTTTTTTTTTTTAAGACCTATAGATTACTTAAGTAAAAACTTTGAGGCAAAATTTCCCTACCTAAATTTTAAATTTAATGGAATGGGGAAGTCCTTTGAGGGAAATGTCATTTTGTTAAAAACAATGAATGAGAAAAACCCAAATGCATAATTATTACAGTTAAAAAAAAACAACAAAAAGGCCAACAGGTTTACCTCCTTTAAACCAGAGAAGAATTTGAGGAAAGAGGGGGTAAGGAAAAAGATGACAAGACTAAAACTAATTTTAAGACTATAATGTATGACTAGTGCAGGTAAAGAAGTTGGAAATAGGTAATAAAAAAATGAAAAGTTGAACAAAATATAAAACAAAAAAGGAAAACCAAGATATAACTAAATTCACCTATAAAGTAAATGCTTCCATTATGAACACACCATATTCTGTCCCTTCCTATAAACCCTAATCTTTTTTCACCCATGTCCTAATATTACCACCTCATTCCTTACTCTCACCTCAGATTATTTTAGACTTGTTCTGTCATCCCAAAAGAACCATAATTTCCTAAAAAGCAAGTACCATGGGTCTCTGAAGAAGCACAGATTGAGACTAAGAATCAAACTCTGGGTCCATTATTTACCATAACTCTCAGCATGTTATTTAACCCAAGACTCCAATTTTTCTTTTTCTTTTTTTTTTTTAAGTAATCTCTATGCTCAACATGGGGCTCGAATTCACGACCCCGAGGATCGAGTCACATGCTCTACTGACTGAGCCAGCCAGGCACCCTATTCTCATCAATTTTAAATGTGGTAATACAGGTATAGGACTGTGGGGATTAAATAAGAAACACACCAGAAACATACTTAGTACACCATCTGGAACAGTTGTGTACTCTATAAATGTCAGTAAGCACCCAATAAATTTTCTTATCTGAATGTCTATCCTATTATTCCAAATATCTGTGTACTTTCCTATTTCAAAACTTCAATCACATGTTAAATGATTAGCAGTTTCTTCCCAATAGCTTATAAATAACTTGTAGGGCTTGCAAAATAAGTGATGTTTCCTCTTTAAGGTCCCATTCAACTCTCTTCTCAACTATAAGCCACAGAACCAGCAGTCTAGGCCCTAAATATTATATCACTAACCTCAGGAAAAGGTGCATTAGTTTATTTTGTTTGTTTTAAATTTAAATCTGAACAATACCTATATTAAACAAAACAAAAATTCTCAGTGAAGGTTCTGCTAACAATTCTCCTGAGTCACTCATTTCTACATGGATTTAGGAATTTAGAACCTTGGGGATTTAGGATATACAGAAATGTACCAAATATTTAATCTCTAAAATGGCTCATCAGTGAAGAAAAATTCAGAATGCTATCTGTGATTTTCAAACTGTACTCCCAAGATACCTTAGGAAAGGAGGTTGTGCCTCAAAAGATGTTAAAGAAGAGGAAAAGGGAAGGAAGGAGCAGGGGGCTGAGCTAAGGCTCTAGCCTATCAAAGACACATCCTTATCCTACACCTCCACCTCTGTGCTTGCAAACACAGCATCCCTCATTTTAACACACTGAGGTCCCATATTAGACTTACTATGAAGAAAGAGTTCTATGGCTTAAAAAAGATTTGAAAAACCACTGATCTTGACCAGTGATTTCCTAGAAAATCCAAGGGACATCAACCAGGCCAGCTTGGCATTTGTACAAGGTGTAAAAATTGTGCATGTTGCATATTTTACAGAATGTTTTCAAGCTTATTACTGCTCTTGCTGATGCAGTCATTTCTTTCTTTTCTGTTTTTTTTCCTCAACTATTGCATTACAGTTTACCAGAAAATAGAAGGCAAAATAAATATGGAAAGCAAAATAATATGATATGGCTTTATTTATTTTTTAAAATTTATTCATTCGAGATACAGAGCGAGCACAAGTTGGGGGAGGGCCAGAGGGAGAGAGAGAGAATCTCAAACAGACACCACGCTGAGCATGGAGCCCAACGTGGGGCTCCATCTCACGACTATGAGATCATGACCTGGGCCGAGACCAAGGGTCAGTTGCTCAACCGAATGCACCACCCAGGTGCCCCTGATTTGGCTTTTAAAGTAAAGATGGAAAGACTATCAGAATTATAAAGAGTCAAAGAATTATGTCATACAATGGAAGAGTGGTTAGGAGAAAATGATGAAAGCAGGGAGTGGTATTATTCAATTTAGCTTTATAAATGCTAATTTGTAATCATACCAAAATCTGAATGATTACTCTGGCATTTAAATGTTCTAAGATATTAGAATTTACATGGTATTTTCTAGCAGTTGAAAAGTATGTTCAAAAAAGAAAAACAAATCTAAACGACTCAAGAGGCGACAGTGATATAATTACTAATGCTTCTATTTTATTTGGAATTTAAGTCAGTGATTATTAAACAAGGTTTTCAAATCTAATATGGGATCTTGTTTTATCTGGCTCCTCGACCTATTTTTAAAATAAAAATAAATGTGTTTCTTCAATGCAAATAAGACAAAATATAAAAAAACTACCATCTTAACACTGTCACAGAAGGAGGGAGATAAATCAGTACGGATTGTGCCATGATAACAGATAACCACCTCTATCAGCCTCCAAACAGAGATACTTAAAATTATTGGCATAAATGCATTATAGGAAATTTTAACAGTATGTGAAAAGATACCATCACAAAAGAGGAGGGAGTGGATGTTAAAATTTATTCTTTTTTTTTTAAAG